TGTAGCACTTCATAGCATGATCACACCTTGGCCTTTCCACACTTGGGCATTCGATTTGATTAGGCCTATCAGTCCCCCTTCTAAGGGACATACATGGATACTTGCAGCAACTGAATGTTTCACTAAATGGGTAGAGGATATTCCTTTGAAGAAAGCAATAAGGCCGGCTATGGCCAACTTCATTAAAGAAAACATCATATGCAGATTTGGAATACCTAAGCATATCCTGTCAGACAATGGTACACCATTTGTTAACTCTAGTGTAAGGGAACTCTTAGCCCTTTATGATGTCGATCATGTGAAGTCAACCCCGTATTACCCTAAAGGGAATGGTCAAGCTGAGGCCACCAACAAAACTCTACTCAAAGTGTTTAGTAGAATGATACATGATGATCCTAAGATGTGGCATGATGCTGTTCCTGTGACACTATAGGCATACAGAACTTTCAAGCGAGCACCTATTAAGGCTACTCATTTCTCTTTAGTATACGAGACAGAAGCTATTCTACCTGTAGAGATCCTAGTTCCTTTAGCAAGATTGGCCTTGGATGCTGAGATGGACAATGATGCTTAATGAATGATGGAATTGGAAACGTTAGAGGAAAGAAAGGATAAAGTAAAGAAAAACTTCTTCACGTATCAAAGAAGGTTGAGCAAAGCATACGACAAGCTGGTAAGAAAAAGAAGCTTTGAAGAAGGTGACTTAGTACTTCGTGCAGCAAAACATATTAGAAGAGGAACATCAGCGACTAAGTTTAGTCCAAAGTGGGAAGGGCCATATGTTGTCCATAAGGTGAACGAGAGTGGATATTACACACTATTGAATCCAAAGACCAATGCTATTACGGCACCGGTCAATTTTCAATACATTAAGAAGTATCATGTGTGACAATACTATCTACTATCTGTCTTTTTATGAATGACTTCTTGGAATCAGTTTTTGCCAATTGCCTTATATTTCTTTTACTTTGAATGCATTGTCAGTCGCAACTTTATTGCTTTCCTCTTGGGTTGAGTAACTCCATTCAAAGTAAATTCATTTTCAGCTGCAAGCTATATCGCTATTTTTATGGCTATAATATTATTGTTTCGTTTGGTCAAAAGTTTTATGCTTGAAACCTTCACCATATGGTTCATATTTTAGCCGCAAGCTTTAACGCTCATAATTTGGTTTTACGTTATTGGTCGCAAGTTTTATTGCTTACTTCTTGGCCATAGTTTACTATTTACAAAAATGCCACAACTCTAAATGCTCATATAATATGTCATTCTCCTTCCCATTGGGTTGAGGATTATTCTCCCTAATATGAAGTTGAGATTTCCTTTTGGCCGCACATAGCAATACTTGTGAAACACTCATATGTTCTTAAAGAATGAAATATGGAGCCAAGCAGCTCAATAAAACCACGAAGAAAGAAAAGTAAATGTTCGCTTTGGAGAATAAGTTTACAATATCAGAAAAAAAAAGAACAAAGAAAAACTAATTAAGTATGAAATTCAGATGATAGGAGGATTTATCATTCTCAAAATTAAAGAAGTTATCTAATTTTCTTTGCAACTCCATTTTCCTTGCATCAAGCTCTTTTATCTC